AAACTGAACAACTTTTGCCTCAGGGTCACATCGAAAGTCGATACCAAATTTAAAATAAAATAACATTAAAAAACAATTTCTGATGGAAAATGAGCAATGCAAGCAATATGACTAGGAACAATATACAGAAAACCAAGTTGCGAAATCACACAGATGTCCAGGTAGTCGTGTACAAGCAGAGAGCACAAATGCACCAAGATCTCATCCAAATAAGAGCGATACAATGAAGTAATGAGCCAATGTTCAAGCCCTCAGTCCACACCAACAGGGTGTCCAAAGTCCCTCCTTTCTGTCTGGCGCCCAGCGCCCAGCCTACAATACCTGACTATCCTACCTGCATCAGCATTCTCACAACAGGCTCACTTCAACTCTCAAAGACCAATGTACATGACGTCAACACCATAGCCGACCTCTTCCATGTACCAGGTACGTATCTCGCTTCCCCTCATCAGACCCTGTCCACCCACACTTGCCTCCTTCCTGAAGACCACCGATCGCCCTCTTACCCCCTAGCACTCTGCAGCCCGGCTATGGCTGCTTGCACTCCACTGCCCAGCAGCGCCCCTCTTCACCACACACGCGCCCGCACGCGCTCTGGCCTCAGCGCAGCACGCAGCAGCATGACCGCATTGCCTGCGTGGGCCAGAATGCCTAGGCCCTGGCTGCTCTCCTTCCTATATGGAAGTGGCAGCCCCTGCGTTTCTGTGTGTGGCCTGGCTGGAAGCTTCCAGTAGCTTCCTGTTGGGTCCCAGTGCCTGCGCCCAAGCCCAAGGTTACAGTTGAGGGCCTGGGCCCTTTACAGTTGGGCACGGCCTGAGTCTCCAGACTTGGGCCGTTTGCTGCATTTGCACAGGACCCCGGGGTAGGTACGTCGACAGTACTGCTTTTGCATAGGCCTGCGGCCACTTCGTGATGCATTGGCCCTGCTTTGTGTGTATGTGCCCAGGCGCAACTGCCAAGGTCTGGGCCAACTGTACGGCGCAGCTTAGGGAGGCTCACACGTCCACTCAACCAACTGGCGGGCTGCAACAGCCTGAGTACCCACATATAGAAATGCCGAGTTTTGGCCTCTGGTGAATATTCAGGCCCGCCTTCACTCGGGGCGGCCACTCGGCTTGCTGGGGGCCTCCGCCCATAACATGTGTATGTCTGATAAGGGCCCCGTGAGGGCTCGTTCCTTGTGGCAATACCAAAATGTCGGAATTCCAAATTGCAGAATGACCTGAAAGCCAGATAGTCGTACGTGCTGTCCGGAAAGCAGAAATGCACTGAAATAACACTGAAGAAGAATCAAAGCAGCGCACTCAATTGTCAATGAGAGCACTCTCTAGCCACCGCCAACAATGTACTCGAAGCTTTTCCTCCTATCGACGTCCAGTGCCCACACTACTATCACACAGCTACTTCGCTAGCTACTTCGCTAGCCTAACAAAATGACAAAGCAACAAGTTGACGTCAGCAGCAGCAACCAAAGTACATGTAGATGTCGACCATGCAGACCTCCACCAGGACCAGGTACGTGCTCTCACATCATCCCCACACTCGCCCTCAACATGCTCACCCTCGTCTTCTCCACCCACGTGTGCTTCCTCTACCGTAGGACGACCACCATACCCCGCCAGCTATCGAGCCCCAGGCCCGGCTACGGCTTCCTGGGGTATATCGCCCACCTTCCTCTAGCGCCCGCGAACGCCCGGGCACCCAGCACCAGCAGCATGAGCGCTCTCTTCAGCAGCACTGCCTCATCGCACGCATGCCTCCCTCGCGGCCAGGCACTTTGCTATATGCGAAGTGGCCTGGCTCGATGGAAACCTGGCCCCTCGTGTGCCCAGTATAGCTTCAGGTTGGGCCGAAGTGTCTGCGTCCAGGCCCAGTCAGACAGTGGCCTGGGACCGAATAGGTTAGGCGTGCCCAACCACCCAAGAGCAAACGTGAGGTGTGTTCCTTGCTGCCACTGTAGCTGGAAGAGCCTAGAAGGCTCACGAATGTCTGATTCTCACGAGCAGGGCGGATGTAACTGACTGCCGCGTGGCAACTGTCTGGCGCGCACCAAGGCTTTACACAATTGAAAGCGTGCTTGCTTGTAGAGGCCACACGCAGGTATGCCGAGGGCTTAAAATCCTCGCATTTCTTTCTTTATTTTTTATTATTATTATTTTTTAGATCGGTTGGGCAAGCGGTCCCCTCGACTAGAAAGTTAGTAGAAAAGTTACTACTAGAAAATATTGTCAGCGAAACTTACAACTTGTCGCCAGGAATGTCTCAGTTTGCCAATAGAGACTTGGAACTTGGGACTTAGAACTTGCAGCCAAGAGACGTAAGACAGTGGGGGGGGAAGTAGCGAACAAAAAAAGGAGATGTGGGAGAAAAGACACCATGAATGGCTTGCATGGCAATTATATCCTCAGCAGCAGCACACAAAGTGTTTTTGATGATTGAAACTTCTTTCTCTTTTTCTGCGTGCCACCTGGGGGTCCGAGGAGGCGAGAGAACCCACCTGCTCCCCGTACTCCAGCCAGGCCAAGATCTACAAGTCTTATCTTCGACTAGATGATGACCTGTTGCGGCTTCGCCCGCAAAAAAAAACAAGAAAAGAAAAAAGCACAAGAGAAGGGAAAAGCATAATGAAGTGTCCTATCATTTGATGCTTCTTTAACAATGAGAAAAGAAGAAACCTGACAGCACACAGACAGCATAAAGAACCCATCATGGGTGATGCGTTTTTTTTTTTTTTTAATGTTGTTTATCCAAAAGAAAGAACCTTACTCCATAACGAATCCATATCCATTCATGTGTTTATCCAAAAGAAAGAGAACCTTACTGAGTCCAGATCGATTCATGTGTTTATCCAAAAGAAACAGAACCTTACTCCATAATGAGTCCATATTCATTCTGCGGGAGCGTCAGTCCGGCTCCTATTCCACTGGCAAGTCATGAATACATATTACATAACACAAATTCTACACACAGTTCCTCTCCAGGCTGGAGGACCCCTGGGCATCATTGGTTGCTCCCGGGAGGAGAGCCAGATCGACTGCCAGATCGACTTTCCCACGGGTCGAATTCCTCTCAGTCTGTGCTACAGGGAGACGGCCAAATAAACTTGCATCTCTGGAATGCCTCTCGGTCATATGTTTCAAGATAAAGGGGGTGATGCGTTTCCGAACTTTCTGGTTGGGGACTCACCCCTTTCATCTTGAAAGCTGTGTCAGTGACGGTCGCCTTACCTTTGAGATCACAACCTTCCCTTGGTGTTGTTGTGGGAAAAGGTAATCCTTCCGCGACTTAATGAAAAAGTAGCAAAGATGACCATCAAGAATTGCGACCCGACCCCGATCGGCCCCCGTAAAGATGGAAGGGGCGGTGCGTTTTCTGGCCGGGGCCTCACCCCATTTCATCTTGAAAGCTGTGCCAGTGATGGTTGCCTTACCTTGAGATCACAACCTTCCCTTGGTGCGGAAAAAGGTAATCCCTCTGCAACTGAAAACGCCAGTACATGGCCGGCCCCAGCCTTGCTCAAAAAGAAACTTGTTGCCTACGAAAATTTTTTTTTGGAGGCTCGGCCTACCAGACCACGATGGCTGGCAGCGCCAGCCAAAAAAGAAAAAAGTGCGCCGCTGGTGGTTCGCAAAACCTTGGTGGACAGCAAGGGGCCTGCAGGCCCGGGTGTACTGGCGGTTTAAGGAAAAAGTAGGAAAGAGAACCATCAAGAATCAACTCTACCCAAACCATCCCCTGTACAAAACCGGATTGGATACGCAGATTCGAACCGAGGACTAAAAGCTTCGGATGCAGATATCTGGTGTTGAACCGAAGGAGGCAAGCACCGAGTTCATTATTGCATGCGAGCATCGGACCACAGATCGAAGGAGACGAGATACAAAGAACAGAGAATTGGAGGCGACGATGCCCTCGGGAATGACGATTGTTGCGTGGGGAAGACCCCTCACACTTCCTCAAGCCAATTAAACTTCCGTCCCACCTAATGGAACGTCTGAGTTTTCCACTCCCCCTGTCCATTATCCCATATACCGGGCCAAAGTCTACAGCGCCCAGGCCTGGTAGAGGTTTGGTGAGGAAAGATACCACAACTACTTTTCCTCACGGCGGCACTGTAAATTTCAGGCTCGGGGAAATGCGAAGACCCCTATGTAATAAACGCAGCAGCTGCTCCCCCACTCCCCCCTTCCCTCTCTCCCCTCCCCCCCCCCCCCCCCTACAAAAAAAAAGGGGGGGGGCATGGAAACTTGTGGGAAGGTGAGCAATCCACGCTGCTGATCCATTCTTGAAGAGAGCTGCGGGTATGAACATGGATACACTGCCTCCAGAGATTGCACAGGAGGAGATCGAGGAAGTGGAAGCTATATAGTGGCTTTGTCTTCCCCCCGGTGTGTGAGTGGATATGGTAGCTACCTTCTTCCTCCGAATACAACGTACGGTAATTATCACTGTATCTAGACTCAAAGTTGCCCCAAATACAGCTATAATGACGGTACGTTGTGTTCGGGCGAAGACTGTAGTCCTGGCTTCTTGTGCTTGTGTTTGTATGCAGGTTATGAAAACCCCTCTGATGGCGAAAAGCTTTTGGGGAGCCACACCCCTTGTAGATATCAAGCTGAAGAAGAGGGACGGAGCCGACCGCACTAAGCGGCCAGTCTAGCCAGCAGCACAGACTTGTTAGCAAATGCGGAGGAAGAAGGGCATGATGTGCGGAGCGGAGAGATCAGGGATGACAGTGGGAATGAAAATGAGGAGATGGGGGAGGAACATTATGGGACGGAACATACAGGAAGTGTGAAACTAGGATGGGGAGACAGGCTTCATACGGACAATTGGATTGAAAATATGGAAAGGAGGAAACGGTGAAGCGGGGAAGAATAAGGAGGTTTGGTATTGCGTACTGAGGAGTCAGCATATCGGCGAAGGAGAAGCAGTCGGGCAATCATGACAAAATAGCATGCACAATGATCATCTATCCCATCCCTCCCTCTTATGATCATCTATACCATCCCTCCTTTTTTTTTTTCTTTTTTTTTTTTAATACCCCCACCGGTGATAGTGGCGCTGATAAGACACCTCCCTCTTATGTACACAGTTACTACAAATCATGATCATCTATAATTAGAAGCAGTCGGGCGATCATGACAAAATAGCATGCACAATGATCATCTATCGGCAAAGGCCTACTTGGTACAAAAAACAATGACAGACTCATCCTCAACAACTGGCTAATCATAACACAGCCACAAAACACCTCTACAACTCCACAAACAACATCCGCACAACCACTGCCAAACCAACCTCTCTCCACTAACCCATCACAGGTTTAGTAAAAATCCCTTTCCCGGAACAAAACCACTCCTCCCTCCCCCTCCCCCCCCCCCCCCCCCCCCCCCCCCCCCCCCCCGCCCGCCCGCCCGCCCGCCTGCCCGCCCCCAATACCACCACCCGCTCCAAACACCCTACCCCACCCCTCCCCACACCACCTATTACAGTGCACCTACCCAAAGCCCCACAGCACAGTCACCCTAAATCCTCACCTATCCCACAAAGAAAACCCCCAACGGTTTTCAAACAGTCCCCCACTATTACTGAGCAATACCAAATTTACGGCCCATCCTCAGTTTACCACCACAGATAAAACCAACTACTACAGCTTAGAAACGACAGGCACGCCTAACCAATTCGGACCCAGCCCGCTGTCTGAATGGGCCTGGGGGCAGACAGTTTGGCCCACCCTGAGGCTACTGGGCACACACGCAGCCAGGCCAGACTGCCTTCGTGACAGGCCACTTCGCATATAGCAAAGTGCCTGGCCGTGAGTCGGGCATTCATACACACCATCATCGCACCAAGGAAACGTCACACTGGACACCCAAGAACATGCTGGCTGCAAACGGTGGAAGAATCTGTGATGCTGACAGGGACCATCACACCAAAAAAGTGTTTCTGCGTGCATGCTACCACCCGCCTGGAGCCGCAAAAGAGACGGGCACGAACCGTCCTCCTGACAATGCGCCGAGCGGGCAGTAGTCAAACAAGGGGAATCTACTAGAGGGATTACCCCACATGCTTATCCTAAGCTACTCCAACCAGCAGATCACCGATAATTACTGCAGCTGCGCGGTAAGTTAACGACGATTTGACTGAAGAACAGTCGGGATCTTTTTGCTCCCCAACCAAACAACTTGGGCGGACATTATCGAACGATGATTCATGGTGGAGAGCCGTAGGGTGGGAAACTGTCACGTACCAAAAAACGAAATTATGTTTTCGTTAGAATTTGCCACTCAAAGAAGAATGATGAAACCCGTACCCATTTTTTGTTTAGTGCAGCCCTTTGCTGCATGTAGCTGTGCATGTGTCGGGACGCGCAATAGCATATCGTCATTATCATGCCATGTGGCTCCATGTAACTTGCAGTATACAAGTCCAGGTACGTTCAGCTTTTCTTTCTTATCCAACCCATTGACTATGTCCAGGGGGAACTGCTACTCGAGGGATTTGCAAATGGCTGACCAGGATCATATGGATGAACCGCATACTTGTGCACCACCCTGCGCAGACCCCACGGGTGGTCTACAAATGACTGACCAACAAAATCAGCCTGAGATCCCCGCCAATCTCTGTGGTCTGACTGCAACTAATAGCTGCCTTCGCGTTCTCAATCGGC